TAGGGTAGATTTTCACAAAGGATTCTGCATTACTGATAGACTCAGTTACAGCAAAAATAACCAGTGGCAAAGGTGTGTTGTGTGTTCATCTCTTATGTCTGCGTTGCTGCTGTGAGGCAAAGTTAATCTGTAACTTAGGTGTTGGTTATGAGAAAATCCAGTGTGAAATCAGCATTCCTATAGCATCTGGGGTCTTTTGGCTTTTCATGGCTAGGTACCTGTTCTGCGAGGAAGTGTTACAGAATGGAAGTAGTATCACCTGAGTGAAGTACAGCGATTCTTTGTGACTAGGCAATGAGTATTTTCCCACACTGTCCCCTGGAAAATGCTTGTCTATGTTCACCTCTTGTGTCAACTTGATTAGGCAAACCCTGAGTGCTTGCATCAACCAGGACATTCAGAAGTGTGTGACCTTAACAAGGAATTTATTTTATGTATCTATGGAGATGATTGGAAAAGATGAAAAAATAGAGGTGATTTGTTTTTAAAATGGCAGCATATTCGCCAAGTAGTTGGAGCATTTCTTAGCAGCTCTGAGACAGAGTTATTCTGGTCTGCTGTGCAGCTCCATGGCACTCAGTTATTTCTGTCAGCTTGGTCTAAGGTGTAGGAAACAGGCTTCTCCTGTGTTTGTTTCTGTGGCTGGTTTGAGGAACACAGTGTAGGCATTGTGCCCGTGTCACACAGCAAAGAACACTTTCAACTGTGATTCTCGTTAATCTGCAGAAATTTCTCTGCGGGAATTATGAACCATACAATAGAAGTAAGAGAGGATGCTTCAGCCAAAGGAATCAAGTCCCACTTCACTGAAATAGCCCTCTTGTTACCCTCTGTGGGGTTGGGGGAGTTGTGTCTGTGTTCCCAAATACAGGTCACACTTTGGTTAAAGACCAGCAGTGCCTGTGGGAGCCCATGCAGAGGGGCCATGGATTGCAAAGGCAAGAAAGCTAAATGAGTGATTTGAGAAGCTCCTGGGTACAAGAACAAGGAATGTTCTGGTAAAGTGGAACTTGTGTCAATGTACCAATTATGTGGGTTTAGTAGTAGGCTGTCTTCAGTATTGGCCATCCCATTTTCATGAGTATTCATGTCAGAAAAGGAATAAAATGCCAGGATTGTGGGAAGAAAACTTCACTATTCGCAAGCACACCTATTTTTAACTCTGAAATTTCTGTGGTGGGTGCCTTTTTGCCAAGAAGTTGAGCGTGTCTGTATGTACAAACTAAGACTTGGTGTCTATTTATCTTGGCAATGGTGAGCTTCTCTGCACAGCAGTGATTTAGATCTCACTTACACAAGACATTTTCTTTGTTAGTGCATTACCAGGTACTGGGTAGTGTAAGTAATGTGTTTGCACAACACTCAACTTTCACAGGGTTTCTTCAGAAACATCCTCTTGTGGGAAACATGTTAGTGTGTGTGAGATTTTTCTTCTGCTTGCTGCTTTAAGTCCCAGGTAAAAAAAAAAAATCAGCTCATTACCATACTTGGCCATTTCACAAAAATCTCCAGCAACTACTGTGACTAGAAATTGATTGCTTGATCATTCTGTGTGTTCTTAGTCCTAAAGTTTGTGCCCTGTGCTCTTTAAGAGGTGCTAAGTTGAAGAAACCACCTGTAACTGTGGCTGTTTTCTATTGCTTTCAGGAGATTTTTATTGGGAGCTGGTCAGAAACCTGGCAATTGTTATCTGTGGGCTCTGTTGCTATTTGTTCTTTTCATGCTGGCTGGCTTCTCAAACTGATTAGAACAGAATGCCTTTAGAAAATGGATGGTTATCTTGATCCTGGTTGTCACAACTCAGGAAAATGTCACCTGTAAATATTTAATGAGCCTTTGTGCAACTGACCTGATCGAGAACTGAGTAATGATGCAGTTGCAGGAGTCGTGGCTTCTGTAACCTGGATCAGCAAGGAAAAGAGAGCACTTTTCCTCTGTCAGGCTTTGTATTGTTGCTAGCTTTATTCTTTGATATTTTAAGTAAGTGGTGGTTTTTTGGAGCTCTGCCTTAACAGCCTCCTCTTTCTTAGCTAGCTTGTTTTGCTGTGTAGGTTTTTTTGTTTGCTTTTCTGCATGGGTTTTCTGCTCCTTGCAGAAAGGGGACAGAATGCTCAGTAAACAAAAGCTGAGCTCTCCTCTCTCCTACTTCTGCAGACAATAACACCTCCCCACCCTTTTATCATCTTTTAGATTTTTTTGGTCAATTCTTGCACTGTTTCCCTGTGCTGGAGAGTGAGTTCAAATCCAGTTCAGAAGACTCTGGTGAGGAAAGGGTCTTACACAAAAGAAAACATCAAAATCCTCTCAGATGAGTTGGAATTTAAAAATACTACCAAAGCTGCTCTAAGAGGAAAGTAATGAAATGTGGAGAAACAGCTCTGGTTTTCAGCAGGCTAGTAACTATTGAAGTCCACAACTTAAAATCCTCCAAGTAACATGGGGAAAAGTTAGGATAGCTGTATCTGTATCACATTCTTGCTGGTTTTGTGATGCTTTTCACAGTGCCTGATTTCTGGTGTAGTGTCAATCCCATGTATTCTATCAGGACACTGAATAATTAATATTCTCTGAAAGGATTAATTCCCTCCACTCTTGTCTCATCCTTCTTGGTGCCCTGTATGTGCTGCCCATTCTTAGCAGAAACTTGCTAATACAGATTTTGTTCCCAAGAAGAACTTGTGCTGCAGCACAAACACTTCTTTGTGGTCTGTCTGCTCTTAGTTGCCACCATATGAAGCCAATACATCATATCTCCTTACAAAGTCTCAGGTAGTTGTTTCAGAAATGTTGAAGCTCAGAAATGACACGTAGCCTTGAACACTAATAATCTGGCAAGCAGCCTGCCCACTTACCAATATCTACTCACCAGCTACTGGTATTGTGGTTTATATTTATATTGCAGCCCCAGAAATGGGTAGTCTTTGTGTATCAAAATAATTCAGTGACTGAGGAAGTCTTCCAGGATGCTCCTGAATTCTCAGGAGCACTGTGTCCCATAGTGGCAGCTGTGCCTCAGTGCTACAAGAGAGAGCCCCTGGGGAAGTGCAAGGGGAGAGGGACAATTTTATGTGATGCAGAAAGAGAGGAACCCATTGGGAAAAGCAGCGCACTGTTTACCCAGGATGCCTAACTTCCCATGAGTTCCTTTCTTCCTTTACGCAAGGGGGAATGACAGTATGCATGTGTTAGACTGAGGAAGTTCAGCCCAGTACTCTGTCAAATACCAGTCCTTGGGAGCCCCTTGTTCTCATGGTGTTCAGCAAACAAAGCTGCAGTCACCCTGTCAGCACCTTCTTTTGAGGTGGCTTTTATTTTGTTGGCTTACAAGGCAAACATGGGTCTTCCTTTAGACTTCTCATGTGGGCAAAACACTAATTTAGTGCCCCAGCCCAAAGAAATTATCTAGTCACAGCAGTGATTTTAGAAGGATCTAATGTCAGAGTGATGGAGAGCCTTTTGTTAAACAGATTATCACAAGGCCACAAAGGCTTTGAAAGTAAGAACACATCCAGTGCAAACATGGAGGCTCCTGGATAAGGAACTGACCTTTACAAGTTTCACAATCTGCATCTCTGGACTGGCACAATGAAATTGCTTTGACAACAGTGCCTGGCAGTGCCAGGACACAAGTTTGTACCTCTGGTTGGGCTTGCCAAAGTGGTAGGTAGCAATGCAGGTGCTGGTAATTTGGCTTTAGATGTTTTCTGTGCTGCTGAGGGCAAATACCGCACTGTCTGATTTCACAGTGACCTAGAACGACTCACCTTTGTAGGAGATCTCTGGTTGGGGCAGTTAGGGATTTTTTTCTTCATATTCTTAAACAGTGTAGCGCTTTAAAAAAACAAACTTGTTTTTTAATCAAACTACACAAGATTAATAAATCTTAATAGGACAACCCTGATTAAATCATCATTGTTCTTCTTCTTTTTGTTGCTCTTGTGCCTGATGGGTGCTGGGAAATCCCTATGACTCTGTTTTACTCAGCGGGGAAAGTCTGTGCTCTCCTTAGGGAAGACTGGATCACTTGTGCTGCAGTGGTCACAAGTGCTTGCTCTGTGGGGGAATGGAAGTGGCCTGGCACAAGAGGGGAAGCCTAAATGGAGGTCTAGGAGAGAGAGAATGCACCAGAAAATCCAGGTATGGTTCCTGTACAATGCAGTGTGGAAATGCCAACTATGGTTGACCTGGCCCACAGCAGACTGCTCTGAGCTGCTCCAGGAGCTGCAGAGAAGCATGGAGGAACTCCCAGCTTTTTGGAATCGTAAACATTTGGCATCTTCCATTTTTGAAGAACAATGAAGTGTCATTGTTACCTCAGCTTGGCAGGAAAGCGAGTCTTAAAATACCAGAATTTCCCGTCAGTGGGATTATTTTTACTGCCCGTGGATGAGCACCCTGGGAAGGATCTCAGGCAGGCGACAAGAGCTGGGAAGTGCAGCTCCTTGTAACACTCCTAGTTTTCACCAGGTGCGTTCTGAGGTGTCTTCAGTAAACAGGCGAACTCTGTGCTCTTGCTGCCTCCTTTCTCGCTGGACCGACAGCGCAGGCAGCCAGTGGTTGCGGACCGTAACTTCCCTACCGCTGCCTGCGGCCCGGGGCCCGTGCGGGGGATCCCTTCCCGTCCCATCACATCCCAGGCCAGGATCCCGGGCAGCGCCACGACCCCGCCCTCCAGGCCCGGCGCAGTCTTGTCGCTGTCCCATTGGCTGACGCGCCCGTCACTCCCGCCGCCCCCGTTTCGCCATTGGCCGCGCGGGGCACGCCCACATTCCACAGCTGGAGCCGCTCGCGGTCCCCGCGCCCATTGGCCCGCGGGCCCCAGGCCGGCCGCGCTGCTCGATCCCGATTGGCGGGCGGGGCGGGGGGGGCGTGTCCGGGCGGGGGCGCGGCCGGCGGGGGTGACCCGCCCGCGCAGTCCCGGCCGAGCGGGGGGCGAGCGGCGGCTCCGCGGCCCGGGGCAGCGGCGGGGGCGGGCAGCGGGGCGGCGGACGGACCGGCAGACCGACCGACCGACCGACCGACCGACTGACTGCCCGGCCGGCAGGGGTGTCCGCGGCCGCCATGGAGGTGTGCGAGAGCGGCGGGGAGCAGCCGCCGCTGCTGCACTGGGACCGCAAGCTGAGCGAGCTGTGCGAGCCCGCAGACCCCGAGACGCTACTGAGCCACACGGTGAGGAGCGGCGGGGACGGGGGTGGGATGGCTGGGACGCCCCCGTGGGCGGCCGCGTTTGGGGGGCCGTGGCGGGGTCCCGGCCGGGGGAGGCGCCTTTGGCCAACAGGTGCTCCCCGGGGTCCCTCGCCGTGACCGCCGCCCCTCCGGCGCTGGTGTCCCCCGGGCCGAGGTGCCCCGGGCAGGCGATGGGGTCCCCTCTGTCCCGAGGTGTCTCAGCTCCTCCCCTCGGGGGCTCCCGGCAGCCGGGGCTCCCTCTGCCCCCGCGTCGTCGCTTCTCCTAAGGGCACCCCTCTGGAGCCGCGAGACGCGTCTTCTTCTCCAAGGCGAGACTCTCCCGGCACCGTCCCGCTCCTCCAGGGCAGGAAGGAAGTGACAGAAGTTTTTATGTTTGTTTTTTTTTGTGGTGGTTTTTTTTTTTTTTTTTTTTGGCTGGAATCCCCGTGTGTTGGCTTGCGCAAAATGCATAGTTAGGACAGTCCCGAGGAAATGAGTCTTGTTATCTGTGCCCTGTGGTTTCTCTGATTATCTGGGAGGTGTTTTGCAAGTGCAGAGATACACCTTTATAACGTTATAAACCTCTATAACGCTGTGCGGGTGCGAATCCTAAGTGGAAGCGAGCCGGAGCACTTTGGGACAGCGGTGTGGAAGACTCTTCCAGCCCGCTGTTTGTGTGAAGCACGAGGCAGCCAAGCTTGGCGTGGCTGTCGAGCACGTGCATGGATGGAGCCCCAGAGGAACATGGTGGCGGCAACTGGATCACGGCAGCGCCCAAGGAACGGCGCTTGGCAGGTGCTGCCGCGTGCTCTGCGCTTCTTCCTTGCGCCGAAGAGAGCGATGCGCAAATACAGTCCCGTGGAGAGGGGCCAAGCCCTTCTCCTGGGAACAGCGGTGATCCCATTGCACCATGGGCGCCCTGCGGAGATCTTGGTGTTAGTCTTGTAAGGCAAACAAGGAAAATCTTGTTTGTTGTGTGTGGTATGCGATAGCCTTACTGATCCGGGATCACGTCCATCACAAGCTCCAAGCCTCATTTCAGCAGGAAGCAAGCCTGCTGCACGCTTGACTGTCTTTAAACGTTGTTCGGCTGCTTTTTCTCTGAGGGTTCTTGGGCTTTCTTGCGCAATGTGTATCTTCTGGTAGATCCGGGGAAAAGGAATTGTATGTTACGGTGGCTTGGGGTTTTTTAAAGAGGCAGCTGGAACACTTAAAAATGGAAAGCTCTTCCATCGAACAATTGTTTCCTTGAGTTTTTTCATTATCAAGAGGAATGCTGTGAATGAAATGGGAGGCTCTTTGGAGAGTGTTCCTCTTCAGATTTATGGTTGTGGTGGCATACTTCCTCCTGCTTTGTTTGGATCTTTGTGATGAGAATGGACTTGTCACTCTTAACTTTAGTCTTCTTATTTCTTGTTCTCTTATTTCCTTTAATTAATGCCCTGAAGGAGACTTTATGCTTGGGATAGGACTTGTGGCTGCAGTGACATGGATATGTGTATTTTCTACCCTGTTTCAAGGAACCTGAGACTTGAGTTTAAGCATGTCTTGACAAAGAAAATGTTCTGGCTATCTGATGGATATGTGATGCTTTTCCCTTTGCTGTTTTCAGGTTTTATTGGGGATTTTCAGCTTCAAGTGCTATGATGATGAGTGTTTTGCAAGGGACAGTGTGTAGCTGAGTCTGCAAAATATTGGACTGTGACCACCTTTGTTGGGAGTAACACTGCCATTGATTTGTGTGGTTGTCTTGTTTGATTGTTTTTAGTTATTTTGGAGTTTAAGACTTTAGAGACTCTCTTGAAGTCACATAAAAAGTGTGAGATCAATTTGTCTTTTTGGTTGTTTTTGGAATTCCTCTGAAAAAAGTTTCAGCAAAAACAATCCAGCTAAAGGCTATTAAGTAGGTGTAGTGAGGTATTATGATCTTTAAAGGAGAAAAAAGTTTTATGAAATTCACATTCTCTAGAGGGGAAAAAAACCCCCACACTTCTGCCTGTTGAACAACTTCTTTTGTGAAGTGTGCCCTGCCATGTGGAGGAAAATACTGTGCTTGATATCATGAAACACAAGATCTCTATTTACCTCTGGCCAAAACTTCATAAAATCATTTGAAAAAACCAAAACAAACAGTCTCTCTAGATGAAGCATCTGTTCTTCTCCTGGCTTATGCTTCCCATCTGGGAGGACTGGTTTGACCCAGCTGACTCTGCTGTGTTTGTAAACTTACTACAGGGTATTTCTGAAAAGACTGTGGTGATGGAGGAGACCTTCCTATGCTCCATGTACAGGAGTGCCCACTACCTGTGCTGTCATCCTCATGGCTGTGGAACACGTGCCTTATGGAATCCTATGGTCTTTACCCACTCCTGGGATGTCTCTTAGCTGGATGTGCAAGTCTGCATCCAAGGGAACTTCGGTGTGGGCTAAGGAAAGGTGTCTGAGTCAGTCAAAAGCCCTAAGAGTGTGAGCTGGACTGGCCAGGGGGGAGGAGGGATAAGATGATGATGATGTTGACTGAGGGGAGAGCTCACAAGTAGAAAGAAGGATCAGTGTTGTTCCACAGTCAGACCTGTGTGTGCAGACTGGTGAGGGTGAGAATTCTGTGCCAACTGCCTTTTGTGTATTTTAAGTTAAATTTTAACTTTCTTACAACCATAAAGGCTATTCCTGGCTCTGGTTGATTTGACGCTGGTAGACAAGTGTGAAAGTACGCATGCACTGAAAAACTTGACCTCTATTTTAAACTTTTCCAGCCTGCCTTAATTACCAGGGCTGAAATCCAACCTCCTGAGGATTTACATTTCTCTTTAAGAGCTGATGATTTCACCAGTGCCTGAAGCTGTGTGAGGAACCATTCCCTCACTCCTCTGGTACTGTCAGTGATGTCACCGGCTGTGCCTGGAGAAGGTGGGACCTTGAGGAGCTCAGCTCTGCTGTTGGCAGGCAGCAGTCCTTGAGGTGGCTCATTAAAGTCCTCATAGTTTATAGTACTCACCTGGATGCCAGATAGCTTTAGAGCATTTATTTTTCCAGAGTGGCTTAGTTTCCCATCCAAGAAAAGGCTGAAAGGTTTCCCAGAGTTGTGTTCATGGCACGTGTCACGTGTTTGCATTATCTAATCTTCCTATGCCCTGTAGCTTGTTGTGATTGTATGTTGGTAACGCTGTACACAGGCATAGTGTAAGGCATTATTATTATTATTATTATTATTATTATTATTATGTGCTTTTTCGTTTTCCTGGTGACCAAGCAGAAAGGAAGCACAATGCCTGCCACTGCCCAAGGGGAGCAGAAGCGTGGCCAGGTGAACTCTTCGGCTTCTTGCTACTGCTGTTACTTTCCATAACATGCAGGCGGGCTTGAAGTGGGAGAGCTCTACTTGTGGCCATGGGTCTCCATTAGAGTTGATTTGTGGTTGGACATGGCCCAGCTGGGATGGCGTCTTCAGTGACAAGTGCCAGATCTGGTGCAGATGGATAAGTGTGACAAACACGCTGTGACATGCCAACTACCTGTCCCATTCCTGGATGGGGGATGAAAGGCAGATGGTTCTTAGGAGCCCTTGACATTTAAAACTTCCTTATTTAATACTGGGGATGCAGTCTTTCCTCCCCCCCCCCCCCCCCCCGTTTTCATGGTTATTTTAACACATTGGCCGCTGCTTCCAGATGGTAACAAAATGCAGCCAGACAGGAGCATGACTGTGGTCTTGGCATGGCAGATGTAGAACTGTCACTGCCCTACACATATGTGGGGACAACAGCTGGTTTAAGTATTTAGGACTAAATTCCTAGATGTCATGTCCTGAGTGTCTTGATGAGTGGTTAACTGGAAGATACTTCAAATGCTAAGTAGCCCAAATTGTTTATTCTTTAAAGAGCTGACTATTGAACCTGAAACTCATATGAAAAAATTGAAGTTACTTAAATATTATATTGCTGAAGCCGTTGTCTGAGCAGTGTTTGAACTCAGTGAGCCTGTTGCCACGTTGTTGGTGATGCTGTGGGCAGCTTAACCCTGGAATATGGGTGTAGTGCAGGTTGGGATGAGTGGAGGAGGCTTCCTGGGCCTCAGCTACCAAGTCTGCCTGCAAAAGCAAAACCAAAGTGAGCTGCCCATGAAGGTTAATCATCAGAGTTGTTATCATCATGTAAGATGAGCTCAGGAAACTTTGGGCTGGCCTTTTTTCCTCCCTGTAAGAAGCCTCTGAACCTCACCGGGAGCTTGCCCAGTGACTCATTTCCTCAGCCACAAAAACGATGGTTGCCGTTACTTCGTGTTTCTAATGACTTCTGCAGAAAAGCTGCCTCTGAACGAGCTGCCAGGGATTGCCTGTAGTTTTTGGTGTAGGGCAGTGGCAGTTGTTAATTTAAATGGATGACAGCGCTTGATTTTTACGGTCTGTGTGTATTTAATTAAAAGTTGGGGTAACCGCAGCATGTGTAGATGTGGAGCTGGCTGTATCTTATTTTGTGGTGGCTGCATGTAGCCCTCTGTAAAATCTGGTGTCAATATAGTTGTATCCAGTTTTCATTTCGTTTTGGTAAGGGAGAGAGCTACTTCATTTATTTGAAAGCAGGGTTTGGTCTGTTGCCCATTAACCATAAAACTGAAATCTCTTGTTCTTTCTTCTCTGTACACCTGCATACGGAGGACAGGACAGCTGACTTTAGGTGAAATGTTTGTGCAGTCAGTACTTGAAAGGATTTTGCCAAAATCCTCCAGTAAAGAGGGAAAACGAGAAAGTGAGACTTTCAAATAGTTGTACACATGCCGTGTACGAAGCAGTAGTGTTAAATTTGGTCATTGACTTTCCATATTAAAAAAAATGATCAGCATCACAATTGATGAACAGCAGAACTAGTTGTACTCAGTGCCTTGCACTGAAAGCCATCCCCCCCCCTCCCTTGCTATCTTCCCAAATTTAAATAAGAAAGTCATTCCAGGCTGCCAGTGTACATGTCAGGTACTTGTAATGGCTCTAACTGATCTACAATTCC